TTTCAGATGTCATCTTCAGAATAATCTTTCCTTGTTCTTCAACTTTAGAAGTTGAGGAGTTGCCCATAAAAAGTTGTTCACCGTTATCCACTATAGAATAAGATGTGAACATCTTGTTGTCGGCACAGATGTGGCGAGTAGCACCAGTGTCCACCCACCACTCTTTAGGATTTCCAACAAGGTTTGTCTTAGAAACAACTGCAGAAAGATTTATGGCATCTCTATTAGAAATTTTGTCCACTTCAGCCATATAGGCTAGAGCAAGCTTCTTACTTGATCTTTCTTTACCCTTGCGGTTGTAACGATAATCTTTGGCCCGATATCCCTCTTTGTCACAATGTAACACTTGCCATTAAACTTGTACTTCTTACTTTCCTCTCCTTTAGATAGCATTTTCTTCTGTCATCTTTTAAAATCAGTTCTTAAGAACTTCTCTGGTTTTTCACCATGATTGACTGGTACAATCATAACATAAGGAGGGGTTGGCACAATTGCAGCCATTATACCAGTACTGGTTTGAACATTAGTTTGACCAATTTCTGTAGCCATGAATTTTAAATTATAAAACAAAATTTGAATTTGAATTTTATATTACACAGAAAATTAAACCATAAACACATAATTTTAAATTCTGTAAAATAAAAGAAGCAAGAATGGTAACTTTTTTTTTCCAATTAATTTGAAAATAAAATAAAATTTTATTTAAACAAATTAATTCTACACAGAAAATTAAATTTCTGTAACACTTCAATAATTAAAATACTGAAACAGAATTTTAATTAATGAACACTCAGAAATTATTTTTGAAAACCAAATTTAATTTCTGACAAGTTTCACAAATAAATATTCTGAATTGTTAATGACATCAGTATATTACTACTAGTTGTAAAAGAAAATAGACAGTATATTACTACTATCTGTCAAATAGTATATTACTACTATTTGTTTTTCCAACCAGAATATTATTTTGTAAAACCACAAAAAATAATTTCCGTAAGAAGAATAAAGAGAAAAGGAAACAAACGAAAATTTTTGTATAGACAGAATAATTCGAATTTGTCTTAAGATTGTTGGAACAATCTTCTGTGTACAATAAATAAATTGAAACAAATCAAACAAATAAATAAATTACTTACCGAATTTATTTTACCGAGCCAAATAAATAATTAAAAAATCAAGTCGAGTGTGTGGCATTTTGTCCTTAAGACAAATTCGCCCATCTACGGTGCTTACGGATAAATGACGTCTATCTCTCAAGATACAATGATCTTCACAAATTGTAGTAGCACTCCAAACAATTTGTACGACGAACAAAAACCTGTATTCTTACTCTTTGAATTTTTCCCCTAAAAATAATATGAACATTATAACATGTAAGGTAGCAAAACTAGAAGGAAAAATAAAGAAATTCGAATGTTCAACTGCTAGAATTATGTTGGTATTTATAGGCAAAATAAACTGTCCGAACATGTGCTGTTTTTGAATGAACAGATCTGATTTTCAAACAGAACAGGTGCAAACAGAAAACTGTTGGGCAGTTCAGTTTCTATCTGTTAGAAACTGCTGGATCTGTCTGGGCAGTTTTGAAACAGATAACTGCTGAACATATCTATTGGTAACTGCTAGACAGATTTGAATCTATCCAGCAGTTTTGTCTGGCAGTTTTAAATCTGTTTGGGTCCTAACAGATTTGAAAATTGTTTGGACTGTTTAACCTATTTGGAATAATTAGACTAGAAGAGGTAATATTAAACAGAAAAATTAAATTCAAATTTAGCGCAAAATTTGAATTAATTTTAGGAACTTTTTTTGTCTAATCCACAACTGCGCCCGGCTCTGTTGGACGGACGGCGGCGCGTGTGGTGGTTTGGTCTAATATAACTCATCCCTTTTACAAACTTGGGGTGCCCTTTGGAGCCCAACTCAAGTGTTGTCACCTAGAACTTATATATACACATAAGTTCTCTTAAGTTTCCAATGTGGGATAACCATTTCAAAGAAATCCACGTTTTATTTCTTTAAATGTCCATTCTATGAACCTGAAAATGACATCAAATTCTCATTCACTCATAAATAGTTTTGACGAACCGTCTTCACCGTATGACTTGTCATATGGCAAGAAACACGTCACATTTCCACCTCAAAAGACGTTTGGAATCCACTCAATTTTGGACTCAAAGTAATCTTGGAAATTGGATAACAAAACACATTTCTGAGAATTTTTTTGAAAAAATCTGTTTGATTTAATTACTCTTAAAAAAAGTATTTATAGAGTATATTTCAAAAAAATTTCTCCCAAAATCAAACTAAACAAGGTCCAAATTTTTCAACCGTCACAATTTAATTCTTGATAGACTACGGTCTTGTGTGATACACGAATTAAATTCATATTAATAACCTATACAAATAGTAGAAAAATCATACTTAACTAGTAAAGTTTATAGACCATTCGAAAATAGTAATGATAATATAGGAAAGTTCCTATAGATAAGATAAAAAAAATATTTAACAACTTAGTTTGGATTTGTAAGGTTTATATACTATTTTAATGTTGTTGAACACAACATACTCGGATAATAAATAAAAATGGTAATTCCGTTGTAAATAAAAATGGTAATTCCGTTGTAACATTATGTAAAATGTTTTTATTCTGGACTAACAGCTGGGCCAGGGGTCACGTGTGCCTGAGGTTCACGTGTGCCTGGGTTTTGAAATAATTTTTTTTTAAAATATAAAGAAAATATTTGAAATAAAAAAATTATAAAATATTATTTAAAGTGAAATATCAATGATATTTTTAAAATTATGAGAATAATAATAATTATTTTTTATTAAAAATAAAGATATTACGATAAATTATATTATTATCTATAAAAATTTTAATATAACGGTGATATCTATTATTATTGACATATAATTATAATTAATCTCAATGAAAATTTAGAATTTATTGAATTATTAGTTACATTTGACATGTGGGTTCATTCTCTATGTGTTTCTTTATTATTGGTTGGTGATATCATATGTCAATGATGACGTGGTATTACTATTATATTGAATTTTTATTGAAATTTTGTATAAAAAATTACTTTATCATTATATAATTTATTTTAAAAACTTATTCCATTTTTTTTATATTGTCTATGATATACTAATTACAAATAATATATATATATATATATATATATTTATCTTTTTTTAAATTAATCGTAAAAATTTATATGAAATATTTTTATAAAAATTTTTAATGTTATAATTAATAAGTACCCCATTTAATTTAATTTTTTGGTTTCGCTACAGCTCAACACATGGGTCTCATCTTATTGGACTAGTAATAAAATGAGCAAATATTGAATTGCTCAACACGTGAGTCTCATTTAGATTTGTTTCGGATGACTTAAATAAGTGTATTTTTTATCTTTTTACGAAAAGATGTGCAAAAAAATAGAGAGGTGATGTAATAGAAAAAAAATAAAAAGATAAATTGATGAATTATTTTTAAATTGTCAAACTTGACTTTAGTTTTAACTCGGCCTTTATCCTCGGTTAATTATACTATCAAATATGGCCTTTAGCAATGAATAATTTTATTTGTTCTATGTTCTAGAATTAAATCCAATAGATTTGAAGATTTTCAAAGTTGAGTCAAGCTTCATCAACTCTTATATCATGAGGGCAATTAAACTGGCGAGCAAAAAAAAATGGGGTTGAGTGGTCGAAAGGGGATGTTGGAGAAGGAGGGTTGGAGGGGGGTATGAACTTTAGTTTGAAAAAAATCGAAAACAAATTTTTTTTTTTTACAAAATTTGTATATTAACTTTGGTTCATAATCTCTTGTACATGACATAATTTATGATAAAATGGGTTTTAAATTGCAAATGAATTTTAAAATTTAGGTAAAGTACATTATTTTCTCTTTAGATTTAGAAATAATACAATAAGTTCATAAATTTGACATAATTATATTGAATTACTTTAAAATTTTAAATTCACATAATAATTAGTCATATTTTCATCAGAAATTCGATAGTCATAATTTTTTTTAAAAAATATTTTCATTTTTTATACTAAAAATATATTTCTTATTTAGATTTATATTTTCATATTGTTAGTATAATTTATTATTAAAATTAAAACTAATCTATAAAGATTTTTTATTTATTTATAAAATGAGCATAAAATGTAGAAAATTAAAGTAAAAAATTTCAAAGGAAAAAGTAAGGAGTAGTTGGTTAACGGTTTTAGTTTTTCAGCATTTAATTTATAAAAAAACAAGAAACAAGTTTTCACGAAAAACATTTAAAAAAAAATATAAAAAGAATATATATTTGATGAGTTGTCAGAATTAGTGACTGGAAATGAAACGTGGACGGATGTAGTGATCGGTAGTGATAGGTGGTCGGAGTTGTCAATTGAATAATGGCTCAATATCATCGAACGTTACAAAGTGACTAAAAAGATGTCAAAAATATTTCAAGATCACGACAGTGATTGTCGACTCATTGCATAGTCGCCGAAGGTTGGTCAAAGCTTGCTATCCATAGACAATGAATGGTGGTAGTCGGTGGTTATAATGACAGTGGGAGGTGGTCGGAAGTGATAAGTGAGAGAAGAAAGTAAAAAATTATTTTAACAATAAGTAAAATACATATCTTGTGTTTTCAAAAAAAAATTTAAAATTTAAAATCAATTTAATTTTTTTAAAAACGAAAATAATATATCAAATAAAATTTTGTTTCTAATTTATTTTTTAAAAAAAAAAAAGAAGAAGGAAACACACCACTGTTCAAAAGTCATTAGTCATCACTCAACCCAACCCAACGCAACGCAGCTATCCAAAGATAGAAACCCAAACCCTTTTAATCAGATCATGATCTTCTAAAATGACTCAAATACCCTCCACCATCAACACGTGGTCAACCTCCACGTAACCTTTTCCCACAAAGCTCTGTCCTTTTTCGTCCACATAAAATAATATATACTGTCACTCCTCACTTTTCTTCCTCCTCGCCTCACGTTCTTCACAAGGAGAGAGAAACAAGAGAGAGAGCGACTTCATCTCACTCATTCACAGATAAGAGTACTAGAGAGAGAAAGTGTGAGTTTTAGAGAGAGAGTATGGAACCCTACGGCAGCAACCGGGCGGAGGTGGGCCGGTGGCTAGGCATCGCCGAGAAGCTTCTCGCCGGAGGAGACCTCGTCGGAAGCAAGACATTCGCGATCCGAGCACGAGACTCCGACCCGAGCAGCCTCGACGCCGCGGACCAAATCCTCGCCGTGGTCGACACTCTGATCGCCGGCGAGAAGCGGATCAACAACCAGCATGATTGGTATGCGATCCTCGAGCTCGCTCGCTACACTCGCGATCCGGATATAATTGCTGCTCAGTATCGCCGACTGGCTATTCTCCTAAACCCTCACCGGAATCGCCTCGCCTTCGCCGATCAAGCTTTCAAGCTCGTTTCTGATGCCTGGTCAGTCCTCTCTAACCCTCCCAAAAAAACTCTATACGATAACGAACTCGTTCTCTACTCGAAACTCGATTCGGCGATAGGCCGCGAACAACAACAACACCATGATGAACAATCTGATCACCATTTTGAGCAACCAACACCACAGGCGCAGCAGCAGCAACAACATGCTGCTTCGAGAAAAAGCCCTAGAACTAGAAATAGTAATAAGGATAAGAATGTAGCTGAGGAAAGTGAAATAGATGATGATAATAATGATGAAGAGTGTTCGACTTTTTGGACTGCATGTCCTTACTGTTATAACATGTATGAGTTTCCTGGGGTTTATGAGGAGTGTTCGCTTCGGTGTATGAATTGCCATAGGGCATTTCACGGCACCAAAATCTTTGCGCCGCCGCCAATTATCGAGGGGAAAGAAGCATACTTTTGTTGTTGGGGGTTTTACCCATTAGGGATTTCGATGTCGAAATTGGATAAAAATAAGGGCGGGGTTTCGAGTTGGAACCCCTTTTCGCCCATTTTTGCGTCTCCTCAATTGGCGGACAGAAGGAATGAGCCTGAGGATAATGTGAATGCTGCGGAACAGAGTAATGTGAATGTTGGGGCGCAGAAGAATGTGAACCCCCGAAAGGGGGCCTCGGCGCCCAGGATTTATATCGATGATCAGGATGTTTATGTGGAAATCTCAGAATCGGGTGAGGAATCTGGTGATGAATGGAGTGGTGCTAGACAGAAGAAGAAAGCAAAAAATGCAAAAGGGAAGAGTTCGACTGCTAAAAATGTTAAGAAACCACAAGGGGATAAGGCGAAGACTGTTAGAGGAGTTACCGGTGGTGACAATCTACAAGGTGGGCATGTGACTCAACAATTTATGGGGACACCAAACGTGCCGAACGCTGAGACGAGTAGGAAGGCGGCAGTGAATAGTGCAAAGAAGCAATCAGGGAAGGCTCCAAAAGAATGGGGACGGTTGGATCTAAATGTGGAGTTTAGTAATGAGGTAGAAGAGCCTGCTCCTGGAATGAGCCACGCCCATGGGCATAGGGCAGCTCATGGTGAGGAGGATGGCATAGAAGGTATTGGGTTTTTTGAGGGTCTCGATGAATTTTTGAGCAGTTTGCCCATACTTAAGGGCTGACAAGGTAAAGGCTGCCTATTGAAGGAAGACTAGTATTTAGTAGTAGTACTAGTAGTAGTGTTGTTTGTATGCTTGTAGTAATGAATGGTGTAGACTGTAGAGTTGATGCCCATTTTCTTTAGTGTTTTTGTCATTTAAGTAAATGTATATTTTGCAGCGAAGTGTTTTTATCCATCTTTTGGCTGTTTTTAACTGTCTTATTATCTCCTTGCTGGACTATCATCTTTTGAAAAAAGTTACTTTAATTAATCATGGATGTGCTCAAAGTTTTGCTGCTTGGCTGTTTTGACTGTTGTATTATCTCCTTGTTGGACTATCGTCTTTTGAAAAAAGTTACTTTAATTAATCATGGATGCACTCAAAGTTTTGCTGCAGCCACTTGATTCTTTTTATTTATTCCAATCCTACTTCCTTGATGTATGGAGTGGCTGCAGCAAAATGGACTATAGAGTACTCTTCCTATGCCATCTATGAAATTGAAGTCCAATCCAGATGATAGTTAATGATGAAATGCCTGGTTGAACTGAACCTTGAATTGTCTATGCCCCCATTATTATCTCAGGTTTCTCCAAATAAACACACAACAAATAAACAGCCAAACAGCAAAACCAATAGTGCTTCCATCTCTTTCTCTCTCTCACACACACGTGCACACACACACACACACACAAGTATTTCGTTATATTGTCATGTGGCGGCTCAGAGGTCTATTTGGCTTCAAAGGGCTTGATGACTTTGCGAAGGGGGTTTTGCTGGTGAATTCGTGAAGTTAGTTGCATATATACCCTTGCATAGAGACAGTATCCTCTAGGATACTGTGGAGTCAAGATGCTTTAGTAGTTAGATTCTTAAGTGTGCTCAAGTAGTAATATCGTAAATCTCAAGAACCACAAGAAGTTTGAAGTCTTGGAATTTCATTGGTGTCTCACGTGTAACAGATTTTAGGCCTTTCGTGTATTTTTATGTCCCTTTTCATTCATTAGTTTATGTTAATGAAATTCAAAGGTTAACTAACTCAATGTTTTTGTATGTTTTGTAGTCTAAATATGTTTGGGTTGTCATTTCGTCAACTAGAAGAGCTTGGGTACAACATCAAATTATCTTGAAACTATGAAACCTTACTGAAACATGATATTCATTCCATTTAGAGTTTAGACTGGAGAAATTATGATTTGACATTAGAGCTGAGGCATGATTTGAAGCTTGCATGAATGATAGTGTGGAATGCATACTTCTGCATGCACCTTGTTGTAGATATGGTGATATGCCCTACTGTGAATCAGTCCCATGTTCCGGATAAACAGACAGTTGTTACCGGAGTGAGTGCAATAAGCCAAAGAAAGATATCTGCTTTTGAAAACAAAACAAATGTAGAAGCAAGAAGGAATAGGCACAGACAAATGAATAGAAGGCACTTACGAAGCCAGATGACAATCAGGTAATGTAGTGTGCATAATGGAGAGTTATCGGAGTTATGCAAGCACAGATAAGCCTCATAAAATTGTAGCATTGGTAACTTTGCCTCACTTAAACCACATAGGTAACGAGATGAGAAAAAACTTTTTAGTAAATGAAACGCACTTTGAATCACAGTTAAAGATTGATGTTGAAATCACAAATTGCAGAACTCCAAAGTGGAAATCCTTATATGCTTTAGAAGCTTTGAAGAATGCCTGTACCCCTTATGAGTTATTACACTTTGTTATGATACAACTTGTTGACAAATAGTTAGATTCAGTGAGCAAGTTTTTCAGAGGTTTTACAAACAGTTTTCTTTCCTCAAAAGTTGCAAAAAAACAGAAAAGAGGGTCGAATATTTATTTTTTTTATTATTCTTGGAAACTGTTTTCATAAATTGGAGTAAAAAAAGAAGAAATGGCTTGAAGGCATTACCGGAATGATGTTTTCCATTCTTTTTTATTTGTTCTCTTGTTTTGGATGCAAAATGGCCTTAACACCATGTTCTCAAATTACAGATGACATCTTTCAGAGAACTACCTGTTTATAACTGCAGCAAACATTCCTATATAATTCTATATTTAATGAGATCTCTCCTGGGTGTTTGGTGATCACTTCACCATCATACCCATGTATGAGGTCCATTATTTTAAGGGTTTGTGTTTTGGCTTGGGGCTCTGGTTTAACATGCTTTCGCTAGAGATTGGACAACAAGAGGAAAGGTCTAAAGAGGGCAGAACTAGTTGTCATGGCTCACAAGAGAGGCTTTCTTTTTTTTCTTCTTCTTCTTCTTCTTCTTCTTCTTCTTCTTATGAAGTCAAAGTTGCCTAGATGTTTTGGTTGATCATTGATGGTAACTTTTCCCAACATGCATGGTATGAAGTTTTTATACAATAGTTGAATTGGGCATATGTTATTATTATTGTTGTTGTAAATAATCTTGCATATACAGATCGATGATTCAAATTGAAATTCTTTGTACCCAGGATTTTTTTTATTTGTTTCCACAGGAAGATTGGTTGTGCTCTAAACTCGAAACTTAACATTTTTTGATGAGTCTGTCTGAACTTCACATATTACTATTACTATATTCCCTCCCTTTTCCACCAACGCTGTGGTTAATGCACAAGTTGTTGCCAGAGTTGATTTTTTGTTTTATATGATTTTCGAGAAGTGTCACTCATGAATTTTTTTTTCCCCTTCACTTTTGAATTCCCATGGTACGGAGTTACAAAAAAGGATTTTAGTTATGAACTGACCAGATTATTTTAAAAATTGTTGTAGTGATCAGCTTATTGCTGTTAAAATGCTGTTAAAGTGTGTTCTTGTTCAATTTTTATTTTTATTTTTTTTATTATTATTTGAAACTGGATGACTCTTGCAGGCATGACCCTGTTAAATTTATTCACATAATCACTGTGTTGTGAATTTGTTTGTAATTGTAATTATCTTTTTACAAACACAAGTCTTTCTTGAAACAGGTGATTAGTAAATGAATAGCATTGTTTGTTTCTAAAGCTGAGAAAGACAATAACAGCGTTATCATTATTTTCAAATTTATTTGCCTTCAATTGTGTTAAAAGGATTTCTGTCATAGCTTACATCCTTCACACTTTTTATCTCTCTAGTGAGTGCAAGTGTCCCTAGTTTTTCTTGGACATGGTATCAAAGTGAAAAAGGATGTAGTGCCATGAATATATTGCTGCTAAGAAATCTCAGATAGATGGAAATGCTTCCTTTCGTAGCGAATCTTGCATGGCTATGGATTGGTATATGTTTTTGGCCTTCATCTCTGGTCATTGCAATCGTTGGGCAAAGAATAAATTTTCAAACGCTCTTTGGCATTCTAGTCTTCCTCTTTTGTGATTCAGGTGCCATGTCATGCAAGAGATTTCAAATAGGCACCCTACTTGTGCTTGAGAATTGTTTTTTCACATCAAATTAGTTAAACAATTTGTGGATACGAGATGAGTTATTGTTGCATGATAGGTCATGTTTTATGAATATGAAAGCGTAATCCTTGATTTTTGTCGTAGCATGATTTTCTGCTTCTGGATGAATTTTTCCGAGACAGTTTTATTGAGTTTATTCAGCATTGTGAATGGATTTGGTTAAGATGTTTTACTACTATTAGTTTCAAACTACTGCTTCATATTTATTCACACTCAAATTGTTCCTTGAATTAACTATTTCCCAAAGTTCTGCAGATATTCTATGTATGTTATTTGCAAATTTTCATGTTTAGGGTAGTTGCATTGTTTATTTTTGAGAGATGTGTTAAAAATTCAGTTGTGTTTCGATTGTGTTGAATTATAGAATTATAAACCATCTTATTAGCTTTTTAGGAACTTTTACAGGGCTAGGTTAACACACAACACAGAACGCAGCATATGTTATTCCTGTCATTTTTTTGGCTCTCCATTTTCTTCGTCTGTTGCATGAGTCCTGGGCCTCTAATTTTAAATTAGAGGCGCCTGGTGTTGTAGGAATGCTTGAAAATTTTGAAGTTCCTCAGATAGATGTTTTATGTGTTAGATTAATATGATACTTTTGGAAACTCCTTGGATAGATGCTTAATGTGAACAAGTTTGAAGGTATGCTCTCTGATGATTCACTTATATTAGTTGTGTCTTGTATATTTACATGGATGGCTTTCTTCTTCTTCTTTTTTTTTTTTTTTTTTTTTTTTTTTTTTTTTTTTTTTTTTTTTTTTTTTTTTTGGGTCAAAAACTCTTCAGGACATTGATTTTTATTTTTTCTGTAATTAAATCTGATTTTTATTGATTGAAATTTTTAAAAAAAAAAAATTTGAGGAAATAATATAACAAATATTACAAAATGAATATTGTAAAATATTGTTTTAGCACCTCCAAATAAATGTGCCATCTGTAGACATAGATATCATGCAATGGGACAGTTGTCTGACAAAAGGCCAAACTAAACCAAACCCTATGCACATGCAGATCGAAAAATGTCGGATAGCCACAACATCACTTCAATAAGTTAGTACACACTATTTCAACCCACTATTTTTCTTAAATTGACATTTTAATTTTTTATTTGTTTTCTTGAGAGACGTGTAGAACTTATCATAAATTCTGTTTTGATGATTTGAATCTTAACTTGAGATAATTTGAAAGGCTTGTGAAGGCTCATTACAAATTCTATTTTGATGATGTAAATCGTTTATTTTATAAAACTCTCTGTTGTATATTGTTAGTGCTTAGGAAGTGACTATTTTAAAGGTTTTTTGGTTTTTTAACTATTTTAGTAGGCTATTTTAATTTTTGTGTTTGGGAAGATAGGATGAATTTTTATTTGAGTTGTGTATTGAAAAATGTGTTTGAAATGATGTTTGAAACTGAAATGACAAATTTATTTCTAACTTCACTTTTTTCAAAATAGGTTTAGAGGGGCAAAATTGTCATTTATTTCGAAAATGATGGGATGACAGTGTAGGCTGATGCTATATTAGAGCTATATATATTTTTAAAAAATAAAAAATAAAAAAATCCATGAGTTAGTGTGGCTTTTTGGCCTTTTTTTTTTGTTGTTGTATTTGAAGCTATTTTAGCCTCAACTTTTGGTTCCCAAACACCCCCATTGTTTATGAAATCTTTTTATTTTATAATGTTTGTTTTAAAAAAAAATAGATGATTATTTTCAAAAATATATTTGTCGTTTATTTTTTATAAGACAAATGTGATAAAATGAACAAATTACAATTATCAAACGGAATGTATAA